AAACGGACCGAGTAATTGCCATTCAGTCGTCACTAGCGGACCGATCCAAGTGAAGCGCTTTAGGTATTTTTTGGAACCGTAAATATTGGTTCTTGCTACCCATCGTCCAACAGAGATCGTCGTTAACGCCCACATGTGTCTGTTGATTGTGTGCTTCCTACAACTACTATGTGCCCTATTAAAGTGTAAAACAGTGTAGTTCAGTGTCATTTTGAATAACGTGCCGCCGACACTTAAAATGAAAGACTGTGGCGATAGGAGACAAGCTGTCCACATACCGGACCAACGAGGACACGTGTGGGGGCATTTCTCTCTGAACAATTTCAAACAAAGGATCGAACTCCCGTTTCACTACAGATTTAATAGGCTATCCTTTCGTAGAATACCGTGCGACACACCCGCTCACACACACACGTGTCTGACCACTATCCTCCTGACGTTCGTGTCTGGGCCGCCCGCAGAGGACACGCCAGCATGTAGCGCGCTGCAATCTGCATCAAACGCGCCCTAACGAGGCGCGCTTACACCGCCGCCCTGCTCGCGGCACGAGCCACGGCGGCGCCGACCAATCAGCGAGGCGCCGTCGGAGACCGAGCCCGGCGAGGCAGCGGGCCGCCGGGCCGGGCGCACTGCCGGCGGTGCGCCAGTACAGCGGTGCCGACGGCAGCGGTGAGACGCGCGCCAGAGCGAGCGAGCAGCGACGGACGGCGCATAGTGAGCGGGTCGCGGCGGTGGGCGACGGTGGCGGCCGCGTCGGCGGAGATGTAGGCACATCTGAGCGCGCAGCAGACCGATGGAGCGCGTGCGACTGTTCGCCGCCTGCGCGGGGCTCCTGTTCTCCTGCTGCTACGCCAACTATGGGTCGTGGATGTGAGTACCGCGTGCGGCGACGCCGGGCGCCAGCGGGGCTTCCGCTCATCAAGCGGACAGCTGTGAGCCCGCGAGCTGTGACGGCAAATACGACCCTTAGCTCACCGCGCCGAGAACTGCAACAGGAGGCGGTATAACACAGCGATCCTGCAGGCAGCCCACACCGTCTGACTGACGCCCGCCGCCATCATCCGCTCTTCAAAGCTGCCGCGCGTTCGTGCGTCCGTGCGCAGCCGTCTGGCGCTCTGCACAGCGAGCGTGCCACCACCGTGAGCGCGCCGGCCTCTCGGCCCGCCTCTCAATCAGAAACAGTGACGTGCACGATGAGTTTGGCCCGGAAAAACAGGCTGCCGATGACAATTGACAAATGGCTCGGGTGTCGGGGCTCCTTCGGAGTCCGGCCGCCGCGCGCCGGGCTCCAGAGACCCGGCTGATATGTCACGCGGGATTCGTCCTGCGATGGGTCATTTACAGACGCCTGACAGCGCCGGGCGAGCATACAAATGTATTCAGCGCCCAAGATCGGTTCAGATTACACGGCCGGCTTTGTAACGTTTTGATTGATAATCGGCTTCAATACGATGCCTTGCAAAACGTATGTAAAGCGATGTTCGCATTGCGATGCATTTCTAACAAAGGTCTAACAACGGCTTCTTCGCCAAGTATGCATTATAAATTAGTCTTATCTCATGTGTTCTTGCGAACATCTTAGCAACGGCCATTCGATGACATTCATTGCCAAAATGGTGCCTTATTGCGCCTTGCGGGAAAGAACATCGTAGCAAGCGTGCCAGTAGCAAACAAATGTCACAGGTTGCCCAGCCATGCCTCCTTTCCCTCAGCTGGGACCATGTGCAGGGACAGGGCCTCCGCTCCTACCGCTGCCGCCGGCCGCCACCGTCCCAGCACAGTCACGGCGCCGGCCGCGGCCCGGACCGCCTGCATGCCGGCCGCAGCGCCGCAGCAGCGGTGGGCGCTCCGTTTACTGCCCCGTCCCACGGAAGCGACTGGCCGGCGCGGCCGTAAAGCGGCTGCTCCGGAGGGTGCGCGACAAGTAACGGCTCCGAGTCAGGCCGCGAGCACGGGGCGTCGGGGCGGCGGCCGGCTCATCGCCGCGGGCGACGGCGCAGGTCACGGCCGGCCACTGCTCGACAGTGGAACCTGGCGAGGCACGCAGCTGTTGAAGCTGCGTGTGGCGTCGCCCGCCTCTCACCCTGGCAGGAAGGGTAGACACCACCGGTAATCCAACCCCGTACCTCTGGTTTCCTAGACGTGCAGCTTAGCCGATATACCACCAGTGCCCCGAGGGCCCGTGGGGCTGGCTGGCCTGCTCTGCCCGTCCCTGACGTGACCCAGCGTGGCTACGAAATGCAACACGTCGCCGCATTTCGGTGTCGAGCCGATGCACCACCGATGCACCACCGATGCACCACCGATGCATATGTTGGTGGTGATCTGGTTGTACCCCGCTGGTGCTATAGATATGAGCGCAAGGTTGTCATCGTCGCCTGCAGCCACTATCAGTTTTCTTCATCATTGTTGCATCACACTTACTGGGTATCCGTGCGATGCTTATCCCTCAGCCATCATTTTGTGCCGTCAGTCCGCGCTTTTAGCAGCCAAATGTGACACCGCTGTCACGAGTCATGACGTGGAATCTGATCGGATGCAGTTTGGAGCGCGTTTTGCATCATAAGATGCATACCACAGCTAAGTCGAATTCAAGATGTCCCGAATATACTCAAGACGTACACGGGGCATGCATTTCTCATGGACACGTCATTTTAAAATGATCTATTGACAGCAGAACTATGTTCTCTTACTTCGATTGCAGCATACCATCAGCATGTTTGAAATACGTTCCCTATGAAAACCCTACAGTGTCACTCAATTGATAATAATAATAGTAATAACAATAACAGATCGGGTCTTCTTTCGCTTGCGTGGTAGCCAAGTGAGGCAATCATTTGTCTCTTCGTTTGGCACACGGATTGCGTGCGTTTTGTGCCATGCCTCAAATCACTCACGCTTTCAATACAAGAAGGTTATTTTCACCCCCCAGCCCTGTTGTCAATATCTTTCAGAGTCGAACCATATCCGGACATTGCCAGCCACTTTGGCATTCTCAGCAGCGGACTACCGTGCTATGCATGCTGTCATGCTCTTCATAGCCGCCATTGAAACGAACGGTTGGCACGTAGCGGACTGACAGTGATTCATTAACGACATTGACAACAAACGACACCGCCAGAGGCAGCGCGTTCGTGATGGCATTGTTTCGGATGGTTCATGGGTGGAAACCGATAAGCCATCTCCGTACCCACCACCCTAGCTGTTTATTGGTGCACAGTGAATGCAAATGTTGGCTTTCTTAACTTCCGTGTCTTGTTCAAAAACATTTTTACTTTTTTGCTTTCCTTCGTACATTTATCCCAGCGTGCCCTCTCGCCTCCTCTCGGCGACCGCATCAGATCGCCGTGTACGTGCAGGCCGATCCTGTGGTCGCAGTAGTGCCGAGGTGCCTCACGCCCCGCGCTATACTGTCCATGTGGCCGCCGCGCACGTCTGGAAGACGGCGGTGTGGGCGATCGGCAGAACAGTTACACCGTGCTTCTCTGCACGTGCGACGTGCAGGTATTGTTGTCAGCGCTGCGATCGCCTGTGAGGCTGTTGTCACGCTCAGTTTTCAGTCGGCGTGGTCTCAACGCCCCGTCGTATCACGCGTTGCGGCGAGAAACGAATGCCGTCTTAAATCCAGCGCATTGCGTCGACGAACGTTAGCGACCGCCGTCTGATCGGTAAAGATGCAGCCCGGAGGGAAACAGGGGCGGTTTCAGCTCGATAACATCTTGTTCGTGTTTTATCGGGGCATAAAAAGGTGTTCTCATTAACTTCAGATAACGATAATTAATGTCATTATTCAGGTGCGGACCTGAGTTAAAGAGCTGCATCGCGTGACAAGGCTTCGGTCGGAGCCGGCGGCGGGCGGCCGGCGGCCCGCCGCGTCAGCCGCCCGGTCGAGCGCTCCAGCGAGATGACACGCCGCCCCGCGCCTGAATGACGCTGCAAAGGCACGGCCCTACACCAGGATACGACACAATGCAGTCGCTTTTAACCAGGGCGGCGGCAGCCCGAAGCGACCGACCCGCTAGCTGCCGCTGGGCGGTTTAATTACTTCATGCAAGGTCTGATTTTCGCGGCACGTGCAATCGCACCAAGCTGTACCGCGTTAACGGCTCGTTTAGTTTCTGAAGATGACATTTTGAGCTGTCAGGTTCAATTTATCGACATCCTGGTGAGTTGCAGCGCATTACGTCTAGTACAATACCGCAACATAAGTGCTATACAGCTTTCTCCCATCGACTGTGCAGACCGTAAGTCTGTAGTGGTGCGTTTCTCAGAGGAACTCGCACGCCGCGCAGTACCATTGATATACATTAATCCCGCTCCTGATACTCATGTAATCTGACCTAATATCGTAACGTGACACACACATTGCTGGTTGCGGGGGCGGCTTTTGTAACAAAAGCCAGAAAGTTTGTTATCAGCGCAACGGGCGTCTGGATTGCTTAATGCACTACGCTGACAGAGCAGCTATTTATAGGATTACGCGACATTATCGTGACGGCCGAGCTGTCCAGAAAACTGCAACGTCTAGACAAACTTCGCCGCCTGGCTGCGCACCGTCAATGCACTCAGGCCCAGGTTCTTTAATGCCTCCCGCCGCTACGATACATGCGTTACCTGCGGTCAGAAACGTAATTGCCGCCACAGCGATAAATGCCATTCTGAAATGCGACTTTGTTTATTAAATGGGCAAGGAATGCAGCTCAATCTCAGCTCATGCTGACCGCCAGCATGCAAATCCAATCACCGCTGGCCGCGCGGGCACTTTCTAATCCAATACTCGCAGTCGTGCTAAGAGGGATGGCTCGGCTCATGCCGGACCTTGACTGCGGCTAGAGGCCTGACCTTTGTCCCGCTCTGATAAAAGACACGCCAGACACTTCACCTCCGCTGCTCACAGACATGCCCATCAGGCGGCGGCGTCGGCCGGCGCTGTGCCGCCGGTGGGCGAGGCCGCGCCGGGAATGTGAGGCAGGCGGCCGCTTTAGTCAGGCGAGCCGCTCTGGAACGGGCTCCAGCGGGAGATCCGATCCAGTCCCCGAGGGGATTCGGCTGAGTGGCGGCGGGGCGCGGTGGGCGCGCTCTACCAGTCAGATTCGTGGTCGCTGCCCCTGACCCGCCCGCCCTGAGAACAACTCCTGCCGCCTCGTCTCTACACGGCAGCACCGAACTCGGCCGTCGCTATGGCAACGGCCTAGTTTTGCATATCTCACGGCCACATCACGAGACCTCTTCTTGTGGGTTTTCTCGGACCTTGAGATGGAATACTGCCAATGGTGGTCATGCAAGCGCCGGAGATACTGGCCGCCGGTCTGCGTGGCAGCACCGGCGGCGAGACTCTCACGGAGCGCCGCGGCGTTGCGCGCTAACACCAGCCCCGCTAGCGCCCGCGATCGACGCCTGGTGGCTCTGCGACGCCGGCACAGCAACTTCAGCAGTCGGGAATAGCCCACCCGCGGGTAAAGCCACCAGAGCTGATGCACTGGGCGATGGGGCGTACGATGTCACCTGTCAAGAGCGGGACAACGTGGCTGCAGGGCCCGCTGAAACAATCTTGCCACAGTGTGCTTCTTTAGTTACGCGTTGAAGGTCACGATAAAGGTTTTTTGTCTTGAACATGAGACACCATTAGCTCACTGTTAGTGACGTCATTGGATAAAAGACGCGTTGTCGACAGTGACTGCAAAAGCAAAGCGAGTTTGAAGTTATCCGATGAAGATGCATACCATTCATAGGCACTGGATTTTGAGAAGGCGTGCTGTGGGAAAAACGAACTGACACGAGGAACACCTTCGGTGCATGTGATGGCTATTTGTCATTGACTTAAACGGACAGCTTGCTTTTGTCGGTGGGAAGTGTTGGCTTCACCAACT